TCATTTAGGGTGTGACTATCAGTAATTTGGGGCAGGGCTATCAGTCATTTAAGGTGTGGCTATCAGTAATTTGGGGCAGGGCTATCAGTCATTTAGGGTGTGACTATCAGTAATTTGGGGCAGGGCTATCAGTCATTTAAGGTGTGGCTATCAGTAATTTGGGGTGGGCTATCAGTCATTTAGGGTGTGACTATCAGTAATTTGGGGCAGGGCTATCTGTCATTTAAGGTGTGGCTATCAGTAATTTAGGGTGGGCTATCAGTCATTTAAGGTGTGGCTATCAGTAATTTGGGGCAGGGCTATCAGTCATTTAAGGTGTGGCTATCAGTAATTTGGAGTGGGCTATTAGTCATTTAGGGTGTGACTATCAGTAATTTGGGGCAGGGCTATCAGTCATTTGGGGCAGGGCTATCAGTCATTTGGGGCAGGGCTATCTGTCATTTGGGGTGTGATTATCAGTCATTTGGGGTGGGGCTGTCCTTCCTTTAGGATGTGGCTATAGGTCACTTGGGGCAGGGCTATCATTAATTTAGGGCATAACTATCAGTCATTTAGGGTGTGACTATCAGCCCTTTAGGGTGGGGCTATCGGTCTTTTATGGCATGACTATCAGTCATTTGGTGTGGGGCTATCTGTTTTTATGTCATGACAATTAGTCATTTGGGTGCGGGTCTATCCTTCCTTTAGGATGTGACTATCGGTCATTTGGGGCGGGGCTATCATTAATTTAGGGCATGACTATCAGTCATTCAGGGCGTGACTTTCAGCCATTTAGGGTGGGGCTATTAGTCTTTTAGGGCGGTTAGGACACGTCTATCAGTTCTTCCAACACAATCTCACGGCAATTCGTAACTTTTTCATTTAGTGGCCAATTCGTACGAATTCGTAGGATTTAATTTGTACATTTTAGTACGATTTGCTCATCCCCCAATGACGGTTGGGTTTAGGGGTGGGGTTAGGTGCCACGCCTCCTTTTTAAAATCGTAAAATTTCTTACGACTGAACTACGAATTAGCCACTAAACTGCCAAAACGTAAAATACTTACGTTTTCTCATGAGATCAGGCTGGTTCTTCAGGGTATTACAATAAGTCATTTTGTGCGGGTCTATCAGTGCTTCAGAGTGGGGTTATCAGTCATTTGGGGCAGGTCAATCAGTAATTTAAATGAATTTGGGTGGGTCTATTAGTAATGTAATGCCTCATTTCTGCCTTTCATCATGGTAGGCAGTTCAAAAGAATATGCTCAGATTTTGTCTGTAAACTTACAGTAATCCTCCACATCTGAGAGCAAACTGCCATTCAAATCTTCCTTTATTTTGTTAGCTATGCCCATCCTCCAAAAATCCAATCATTTTCCAAAGGACAGAACTATGCACTGCCCTACATTTATTTCTCATTTCAGAAAATGTTTCAATCAGATGTACGTCATGATAGAGGGGAAAAAAGGACAATCTTAACTTCAGTTTCATGCCGACTTTAAGTTCTTCTCAGGAGTTGCCAGTTCATTTCCTTTAGGTTTTGTTTTCCTTTCACCTAGAGGTAGGATTAGAGATATTTAACTTATAGACTATTAGCAATATCTGAGGGCATGACCATTAGCTTGCCTAAGATTGGCATTTTACATATTACCAGCTCATGCCATTATATTAAACACAATAAATTTACAGTAAGATAAGTGATACAACTAGGCTCCAGAAACAGATCAGAATAGCAAACAGAACCGAGTGTGAACACGTCTGTTGGGATTATCAGTTGAAGATTTCTTATTCTCAGTCTTGCTGGATGTTATCTCTTCTGTTCCTTTGTCTGAAGGTTCGTCCGAAGAGCTTTTATCATTGTAAAGACTCTCCGAATCCTGTGGTTTATCTGTAAGTGAACATGTTACAAGCTAAATCAGTGTTACTATAAAAAAAATCTTCATTTTATTTGTATCATATTTCTGTTTACGTAAATGGGAATATATAAATGTGTATTAAACATATTTATCTTACACCTGTAAATCTTTTGCATCACACTTTACAGAATTTCATTTTTAACATCTGTACTGAATGTTGATACCTGTTACATTGCTTTGCTGAGGTTCAGTAAATTGCATGTGAGATCTGTTTTCTGTTGGACTATCTCCATATTTCATTGGTACCAGTGGAGAATTATCTTCTTTCTGGAGTTTCTGTGTAGCTTTATGAAAGACAGCGATCGAGAGGCAGAAAACAGGAGACAATGACATAATTAATGATTTATGTGCATTCAGTTGTGCATAATTACTATACGCTACCTGACAAAAGTCTTAATAATACAACAACAAATATTAACTTGACTTCTAGTTGCTCATTTGGTATCAGAAGGGGCTTATATGAAAGCCAAAGACCTCTAGATTATGCTTATTTGGGCAAAATAAACTATGATCATGCCTTGATTTTGAATGATTTGATTAGGACAGTGCGGTCTGACTCTGCTTAGACTAAAGTCTCATCACTGAACAGAAATAATGTCCAGTATAGAATATAAAGTCCTGCTGCAGTGGAGACAGAATGAATATTGTGTCTGACTCCATCATGAGCTTGGAGGACGGCATCCATACATCTCTGACATGACTCAAATCACTGATTAATAAAGTCATCTGGAATGGCAAAGAAAGCGTTCCTGCAGGACTCCCAGAGTTCATTAAGATCCTTTGTGTTCATCTTCAACGCCTCCTCCTTCATCTTACTCCAGACATGCTCAATAATGTTCATATCTGGTGACTGGGCTGGCCAATTCTGGAGCACCCTTCGCTTTCAGGAGCTTTGATGTGGAGGCTGAAGTATGAGAAGGAGCGCTATCCTGCTGGAGAATTGTCCCTCTCCTGTGGTTTGTAATATAATGGGCAGCACAAATGTCTTGATTCCTCAGGCTGTTGATGTTGATCATCCACTCTGCAGATCTCTCGCACGCCCCCATACTGAATGTAACCCCAAGCCATGATTTTTCCTTCACAAAACTTGACTGATTATCCTATCTAAAGAAACCATACATCAATGAAAGGCTTGTTTATACAGTTTCAAATGTAGGTAAATCTAAAAAAAAAAAAAGACACATAAGAGGTTTTGTGATGCAGAGTCAGTAAAAAAACATGACTTCCCTGACTTTCACTGACTAAAAAGCAGAACTTCCAGTCTACAGTATAATGAATAGAGAAACAGGCAGCTGTTGTGTAGAACAGACCCTCCAGGTTTAATGGGATTCTGCAAATACAAAGTTTTCTGCAAGATTTAGTAAAAATATTTTATTGATGCAGATTTCTTGCACATTTTGGCCACATTGTTGAAAATATAACACTATATTTTAAATATTAATAATAAAAAAAAAATAACAATAATATATATATATATATATATATATATATATATATATATATATATATATATATATATATATATCTTTTTTTTTTTTTTGTTTAATTCTTTTAAATATAAAAGTATATTTTGTTTATATTTTTGCTCAGCTCCCTCACTTGAAAAATCAAGTTTTATTTGCTTGACGTTGTGGCTTGTCTCCTCCTTTGGTATCAAAGCTCAGGTTATCACCTGCATAGAAGCTAATTTTGTGGCTGCATGTGACAATGTGAATCACTTTATTAGATTATAATTACTTACATACATACATACATACATACATACATACATACATACATACAGACCAAAAGTTTGGACACACCTTCTCATTCAAAGATTTTCTTTATTTTCATGACTATGTAAATTGTAGATTCACACTGAAGGCATCGAAACTACGAATTAACACATGTGGAATTATAAACATAACAAAGAAGTGTGAAACAGCTGGAAATATGTCATATTCTAGCCTATTCACAGTAGCCACCTTTTGCTTTGACCGCTGCTTTGCACACTCTTGTCATTCTCTTGATGAGCTTCAAGAGGTAGTCACCTGAAACAGCCTTCCAACAGTCTTGAAGAAGTTCCCAGAGATGCTTCGCACCTGTTGGCCCTTTTGCCTTCACTCTGCGGTCCAGCAAATCCGAAACCATTTGATTGAGATCTGGCTACTGTGGAGGCCAGGTCATCTGGGGCAGCACCCCATCCCTCTCCTTGGTCAAATAGCCCTTACACAGCCTTATATATACATATTGTGTTGTTATTGCAATAAGCAAAATAATAATTTAATTGGAATTATTATTTCATTTTTCTTATTGTTTTCTTGCTGCTATTTGTCCTTGGATTTTTTAATTGAAAGAAAATTTATTTTTATTACCATTGACATCGTATTTGTGTGTTCTTTCATTCATAATAAATAAATAAACAAATAAATAAATTACAGAAGCAAACTTTTTTTCTCTCTTTTTGTTGATATTAAATGTGCCTTTTATTTTTCTCAGTGTAAAAAAGTTGTCAGCATGCCCCCTGCAAAATGTTTAAACGTTGTTATATCTCTAAATTAAAATAAATAAATACATTTTTAAAAAATCATTGCACAAACCATCAGGAACATTTATACAACAACACAATATAAAACGTGGACATAAATAGAAAACTAATGGTAATATATATATATATATATATATATATATATATATATATATATATATATATATATATATATATATATATATAAATATATAAAATAAATAAATATATAAATAAATACATAAAATAAATATATAAAAATAAATAAATATATATAAAATAAATAAATATATAAAAATAAATAAAACAAATAAAATCCACAAAGTATAAAATCCACAAAGTGTAATGTACAGCTTTTCTAAATCCAATGATTTTAAGAATTAACAGGGGAATCAAATAAAATGTTGTAATAATTAATACATATCTCAGAGGCGGTTCATTCCGCGGTGGCGAACCCAGATTATCAAAGGGGCTAAATTGAAAAGAAAATGAATGAATGAACATGTCTCAGACTTACGCAGTTTCCTGTCTGCGCTACACCTTCTTAGCCAATGGTTCACGGTTTTCTGTGTATCTCATCTCTGATTGGTTAATGCCTGTGTATTGCCGGATGCAGGTTCTGGTGTGTCCGTGGTAATGGCGGAGGTCACCGGCAGTGTGAGGAATGCAGTAAACAAGCTATCTGCCTTCAAAACGTTATTAAGTCTTCATCATCATCCTCATGGTCCTGTGGTGGATTCCCGCGCGTTGTGCCGTAAATCTAACGGTAAACAGCACTGTTAAACTGCTACAGTCAGAATCTGTAACCCGGTTAACAGTAAGTGTAAGTACATACGGTGAATATCAATATAATCAAAGAGACATAAAGGATACATAAATCCCAGCAAATTATTCAAGTTTTAAACATTTAAAAGAGTTTTAGAGGGCGGCATGGTGGCACAGTGGTTAGCACTGTCGCCTCACAGTAAGAAGGTAGCTGGTACGAGCCCTGTCTTGGCCAGTTGGCATTTCTGTGTGGAGTCTGCATGTTCTCTTCGCAAGAATTATAAACTTCTATCTGCGACCAAGCCCAGAGCGGTTTTTAAATGCAAGACAAAAGAATTAAGTTTTTCTTGTTTGCTTTGAGGCAGTTGTCAACTGAAACTCCACATTTTCAAAACAGTTAACACACAGATCTAAGTTAAACAGCGGGACTCGTGGTCAAAATGACACATTTTGCTTGCAAAACGCACATACCGCGTCAAAACTTTTAAAATATGCAACAAAAGCTAGTTTTACCTTCAAACAACACAATTTGCAAACAAGTATGTGAGCTCTTTTAATTGATCATTACACAATGGACAACAAAATACAGAACTCAGTGTGAATCAGTGCAACATTGATTGTCATTGTAGCCTATTGCCAATGCCGTTGGTTGTCTTTCTATTTGGGCTGTCAAATTTGTCTTTTTGCAAAGATTTGGATCCAGAATAAGAAATGCTTTGATTAAATGTATATTGAATACATGACATTTTTCAAACTGTGGCTGAAAACCGAAATACTGTAAAAAAAACAGACAAAAGTAATAAAATACTGTAAGTATTAGAGAAAACACATGTAAAACAATATACAGTCAAATCTATTGGGAGTATAGGACAAAGCCACTATTGACCTCCTCCATCCATACTGGCACAGAACACAGACCCTCCACCGTTTTTCATGTTTGCAGACTGATTGCTAATTGAAGATTCTTATGAAGAAGTGTCAAACCGGTGCTTCAGTGAATTCATACTGATCTTACAGTAATGTAAAGAAAGTGGGGTAGAATGGTAAAATACGGGAGAATGTTAACGGGAGGGTTAACGTAAGTGAAGTGAACAGGAAGTGTTTGTGGAGAAAACGCAAAACATCTTTGCGAGAGAACGCAAAAACTTAGAAATATGTTTTTTCTTCCCACCCATTTTTTTCTTTCACCCATATTTTTTTTTCACCCAGCCAATTTTTTTTCTCCTCCACTACGTCCCTTCCGGGGTTCCGTAGTTTGTCAAGTCAGCCATCTTTTGTTTTGCAATAAAATATCTGCACATTTTGCTACTTTTGTTTGCAAAACACTTTGAATTTTATACATTTATTAAAATTTTTTTAAAGTTCTAGATTTACAAAAATGTTGAAACATTTTTTTTTTAAATTTGTGGCTAAGAAATAGCTATTAACTTTTTTTGGTAGGGCCAGTGAAAATATTGGCAGTGCAAGTAAAAATCTAAACCACTGGTCCGATCGGGCCAATAGAAAAAATCCTTAGCGTTGAACCCTGCAATGACTTGCCTAATTAACCTAGTTAAGACTTTAAATATCACTTTAAGCCAGGGTTTTTCAAAGTCTAAGACAGTGGGCCTCCCTTTTGACACAACTTATCTATTGGCGCCCCCCTCCTCCCAAACACGCACGCACACACACACACACACACACACACATATATATATATATATATATATATATATATATATATATATATATATATATATATATAGTATATATAAAGACACAGACAGATGTCAGACTCTTAACTCGCTTTTATCATCATTTGCATGAAAGTGCAATTATTTACAGAGTAATAACAAGTATTTTAATATAACGTTTTTAAAACTAGGATGATGGTTCAATATGAATAGAACAGATCCAAGAACTGTCCATCCCAGTCAAAACAGTCGAAGTTTAGCGGGTCTCATGCTGTCTTTAGCCAAAATATCTTGACAAACCACACATAAAGGTCGTGGTTTATCAGCTGGTCCTGTCCACGTAAATCCTAAACTCAAATACTGATCATCATATCGTCGTCTTTTGGGTTTAAGCCCTGAACTTGAAGGCTTTGAATCGGGGCGTCTCAGAAACCGATCCATTGTGTTAGCAGGCATATACCTGTATAAGCAAATTCACAGCTATGGCCTTCTGGGTAAAAAAGGTTTTCTTATTTTTGACGTATTATTTTTTTAGCTTTGTTTAATTAAAACGTTTAAATATAATAAAAAATACATATAATAATTAAACTTAATAATTATATTTTTATTATATAACATTTTTTCCCGCGCCTCCCCTGACATGCTCTGGCGCCCCCCAGGGGAGGCGCGCCTCACACTTTGAAAACCCCTGCTTTAAGCTGTATAGAAGTGTCTTGAAGAATATCTAGTTTAATATTATTCACTGTCATCATGACAAAGAGAAAATAAATCAGTTATTAGAGATGAGTTATTAAAACTATTATGTTTAGAAATATGTTGAAGAAATCTGCTCTCCGTTAAACAGAAATTGGGGAAAAGGTATACAGGAGGGCTAATAGTTCTGACTTCAACTGTATATCAACTTCCCGATAAAAACCACATCTGCCGATTTAATTAATTTTACAGATGCTGTATGTTTGTTGTTTTGCAGTGTGTGTCCACTGGTGTGCTGCTGACTGTGTGTGGGCGCTTCATAATAAACACGCACAGCTCTACAGACCCCAGATCAGTGGATGCTACACCCTTGTGTCTGCTAAACACTGGTGTCTGCTGTTAAGACCGGTGGGATCACGGTTATACAGCTGCAGGACAGCAGATGAGAGCTCTGGGCTGCTCCACCGCAGCCGCACCGCCTACTATGACATCCTGAAAGTGTCTCCGAACGCGACGCATGCGCAGATAAAGAGCGCCTATTATAAGCAGTCCTTCATTTACCACCCTGACCGGAACCGCAGTGAGGACGCGGCACGACAGTTCGCACTCGTAGCCGAAGCCTACAATGTGCTGGGCAGCAGCAGTCTCAGGAGGAGGTACGACTAGAGATCAACCAATCTCACTATTAAAAGTAAACCAATTATGCTTCATTTTACAAGATGTATAATACGTCTCTGATGTTCCTAGAGTGTGTGTGTGTGTGAAGTTTTAGCTCAAAATACCACACAAGTAATGTTTTATGACTCTCTGACCATTTGATCTTAATTGTGGCGTTTTGGGGACTGTCGCTTTAAATTCAAATGAGATTGTGCTCTTTTCAAAAGAGGGCGGAGCTACAGATGCCTGTGTGTCAGCATAGTGGCAGATTCAAAAACAAGACAGGATTTCCCTCTCTGATGACACGTACAAAGGGAGAATGTCAATCAAAGTGTGTCTGCAGACTGTTTTTATAGAGTGTGTTTATAAAAAATTTAATTAATACATTTTATATTCCATTAGAAGCTGATTATATTCACACACTGTCGAAACAACAGTGTTTAAACCCTTTATAAAAGTGATTTTTGCATCATAGGTGCCTTTTAAAGGGATATTTCACCCAAAAAGGGAAGTTTTGTCATCAATTTCTTACCATTTACTTTTTTAAAACCTTCAAATGTTTCTTTCTTCTGTTGATAACAAAAGAAGATGTTTTGAAGAATGTTGAAAACCCATGATCATTGACGTCTATAGTAATTGTTTTTCTACTATGGAAGTCAGTGGTGTTTCAGCTTTCTTCAAAATATTTTGTTTCGTGTTTGGCAGAAGAGAGACTATTAAAGGTTTGGAACCGCTTGAGGGGGAGTAAATAATGAGTACATTTACATTTTTTGGTAATCTAGTATCCCTTTAAGCGTGCTTTAATTTGTCGCTGTTAATCAATTGTAATTGTATGTGTGTATATATAGGCCCCGCAAACTTTCTGTCACATAAAGTAGACATACAGTTTAAGTCAGAATTATAAGCCCCATTGTTTATTTTTTTCTTAATTTCTGTTTAACGGAGAGCAAAAGAAAAGAACAAAAAAGAAAGAAAAAAGTAAGAAAGAACAAAAAAAATTAAATGAAGAAAAAGGAAAGAACGAAAGAATAAAAGCAAACAAATCAAAGGGAACGAACCAAAGAAAGAAAAAAGAATCAAAGAAAGAATAAAAAAGAACAAATGAAAGCAAAAAGTAAAGAAAGAGAATGAAAAAGAAAGAACAAAAGAAAAATGAAAGAATAAATGAAAGAAACAACAAAAGAAAGAGAGAAACAAGAGAATGAACGAAAGAAAGAAAACAAAAAAGAAAGAAAGAGGGAAAAAGAAAGACTGGGAATGAAGATAAATATAGAGAACAAAATAAAGAAAGAGAATGAGTGAGAGAGAGATAATGACGAAAGAAAGAACGAATGAAATAAAGAACAAAAAGAAAGAAAGAGAATAAATGAAAAGAATAAACGAAAAAAATAATTAAAAAAAGAGAACAAATAAAGAATAAGAAAGAACAATAGAAAGTAAAAACAAAGGAAAGAAAAAAGAAAGAGAACAAATAAAAGAAAATAAAGAAAGCAAAATAAAGAATGAAAAAAGAAAGCAAGCAAACAAATGAAAGAGAACGAATCATAGAAAGAAAAAAGAACGAAAGAAAGTATAAAAAAGAACAAATGAAAGCAAGGAAGAACAAAAAGAAAGAGAATGAAAAGAAAGAAAAAAGAAAGAATAATTAAAAGAAAGAAAAAGGAGAATGGAAGAAAGATACAACAAAAGAAGAATAAGTAAAAGATAGAAATAACATGAAAGGAAAAAGAGAAAGAAAGAAAACAAACAAAAGACAAAGAAAGAAAGAAAGAAAGAGAAAACTAAAGTGAAACTGTTTATTCCTCAGTGTATAATCATACCAACAGTATGTATCCTCACTGCACCCTCACAGATACGACCGAGGCATCTTGACCCAGAAAGAGGTGCAGAGCTCAGGCAGACCTGCGGCTCCTCCGCCCCCCCGCCGCGCTCCGGCCTCCGGGAAAACGGCACACTTTGACTTTGACGCGTTTTACCAGGCGCATTACGGAGAGCAGCTGCAGAGAGAGAAACTGCAGAGACTCCGACAGCAGCAGATCCAGCAGCGGCGCATGGAGATGCAGAAACAGTGGAGACGGGAGCAAATCACCGGAGTCTCCGTTATACTGCTGCTGCTGCTCGGAGGCGTCATCATCAACAGCCTCAAATCATGAGTCAGGGAATGTTTGGGGAGATTAAACCTTAAATGCATTAGAAAGTTTAAAGTGGTCATGTGGGGATAGCTCACCCAAAAATAAAATAAAAATTCTGCCATCATCAGATTATATTTGAGTTGAACACAAAGGAAGATGACCTGAAGAATGCTGGAGAATAAATTCAGCCACTGACTTCCAGAGTATTTTGTTGTTCCTATTATGGATATCAACAGCTGTTTTTTCCCCAGCATTCTTCAGAATATCTTGCCTTGTGTTCAATAAAAGTTTTGACACACCTGAGGGTGAGTAAATAATTAAGACATTTTTATTTTGGGGTGAACTGTACCTTTAATCATGGCAGAGTCTGTTTCCTATGGAAGCTTGTTCACAGAATAAAATATATATATATATATTTAAAAACAAATGTAATTCAGTCTTTCTGGATACATGTCTTACTTTAAAAAAGTGTAAACTATCTAACTTATGTTTATTTACAAAGATACTATCACTGGTTTTCCGCACATGTAACCCCACCAATCCTATACCGACCAACCCGCTTTGAGCTGGGATTGAACCGGCGATTCTCCACATGGGAGTCGGTTGCACTAACAAGGAGGCTAAAGACCACAGCCCTTAGCCTCTGTCGCTAGAGCACCTTCAGAGTTTAGATGAGTCAGGTTTACCTGCACAGCACTTCACTAGCTGGCCTCTGCTACACACTTAATAAATAATAATGAAGGGAAATGACGCAGCACAACACCAGCAGGGGTCACTCTTACATCATTACACTAGTAATACAGTTTTTTGTTGTTGTTTACACACAATTATTTGCACTTTAGACCAGGGGCGTTTCTAGAAATAAAGCTCTACTGGGGCACAGCTCCCTCTCCAAAAAATAAATAAATAAAAATTATATATATATATATATATATATATATATATATATATATATATATATATATATATATATATATATATATATATATATATGTGTGTGTGTGTGTGTATGTATATATATATATATATATATATATATATATATATGTATATATATATATATATATATATATATATATATAAATATTTATATATATATCTGCATGCTGAAAATCCGTCTGTGTCTATTAAACACTGAGATTTCCTATGACTCAAATCTGCATGCCGTCTCAGCTCGTCTAGACTGTGCACTGGGTAAAACTGTGTATTATATTCCAGCATTTACTGCTCACATGAGGAAATCTGACCCCTCTCCACTCATATCATATCTGCTGGAGTTACCGAGTCATTCATCTCACAGGATCTCTCTTCGTTTATTCATGAGGCAAACATTTCTTCGTGGTTCTTCATTCACTTTATTTACAGAATAGCAAAGATTAAAGTGTCGATCATCACCTTTTCAGTTTTTTATTAGCTTAAAGGTTTAATAAACAAAACTTAAAGGGCATCTATTTTACCCCTTTTTTAAGATTAAATATTAATATCATGGTTCTTCTGAACCTGAATATTATGGTGTCATTTTAGGGGCGTGTACACAGGTCGTTGTTTTAGGGGTGTGTTGCTTCACATGAAAATCATGCTGCGTCAAAATTCGCATACTTATACTACACCCTAAAAGTATGCACTGTTTTTTGAGAAGCAAAAGTTTACACTTTTGAGTGTGCAACAAGAGTATGCAAGCTTCGGGACATACTACTTCCTCTTTAACAGAAGGTTGCTGGTTCGAGCCTCGGCTGGATCAGTTGGAGTTTCTGTGTGGAGTTTGCATGTTCTCTCCGTGTTCGCGTGGGCTTGCTCTGGGTGCTCCGATTTCCTCGACAAGTCCAAACACGTAGTATAGGTGAATTGGGTAAGCTAAATTGTCCGTAGTGTATGGGTGTGAATGAGTGTGTGTAGATGTTTTCCAGAGATGGGTAGCGGCTGGAAGGGTATTCGCTGCGTAAAACTTATGCTGGATAAGTTGGCGGTTCATTCCGCTGTGGTGACCCCAGATTAATAAAGGGACTAAGCTGAAAAGAAAACGAAGGATCACATGCTTATGATTGACCACAGCTGGTCCCGCATTAGCTAACACATGATTCACCAATCAAACGAATCCAAACGCATTATAAATAGCCAGATTTTCTTACCTTTGTCAACTTCATCTTAAAGAATCCCCCCATCCACCCTAACTCCTCTCCTGCTTTCCTGGATTAATCTTGGATAGGGTGGCGCAGTTGCTCAGTGATTAGCGTTGTTGCCTCACAGCAAGAAGGCCGCTGGTTCGAGTCCCGGCTGGGTCAGTTGGCGTTTCTGTGTTGAGTTCGCATGTTCTCCCTGTGTTGGCGTGGGTTTCCTCTGGGTGCTCCGGTTTCCCCCACAATCCTGTCTGCTGTTAAACACTAGCCTATAGTGCCATCTGCTGTTAAACACTAGCCTATAGTGCCATCTGCTGTTAAACACTAGCCTAGAGCGCCATCTGCTATTAAAAACTAGCCTAGAGCGCCATCTGTTGTTAAAAACCAGCCTAGAGCGCCATCTGCTGTTTAAAAACTAGCCTAGAGCGCCATCTGTTTTAAAAACTAGCCTAGAGCGCCGTCTGTTGTGAAAAACCAGCCTAGAGCGCCATTTGCTGTTTAAAAACTAGCCTAGAGCGCCGTCTGTTGTTAAAAGCCAGCCTAGAGTGCCATCTGCTATTAAAAACTAGCCTAGAGTGCCATCTGCTATTAAAAACTAGCCTAGAGCGCCGTCTGTTGTGAAAAACCAGCCTAGCGCGCCATCTGCTGTTTAAAAACTAGCCTAGAGTGCCATCTGCTATTAAAAACTAGCCTAGAGCGCCGTCTGTTGTTAAAAGGCAGCCTAGAGTGCCATCTGCTATTAAAAACTAGCCTAGAGTGCCATCTGCTATTAAAAACTAGCCTAGAGCGCCGTCTGTTGTTAAAAACTAGCCTAGAGCGCCATCTGTTGTTAAAAACTGGCCTAGAGCGCCGTCTGTTTTAAAAAATAGCTTAGAGCGTCGTCTGTTGTTAAAGACTAGCCTGGAGCAACATCTGCTATTAAAAACTAGCCTAGAGCATCGGCTGTTCTTAAAAACTAGCCTAGAGCACCACCTCGAGCGAAGTCCGCTGTTAAAAACTATCCTAAAGCGCCGTGTGCTGTTAAATCTAGCTTAGAGCGCTGTCTATTGTCAAAAACTAGCCTAGAGCGCCATCTGCTGTTTAAAACCAGCCTAGAGCGTCGTCTGCTTTTAAAAACCAGTCTATTGAGTCGTCTGCTGTTAAAAACTAAACTCAAAATCGATTTGAGAGAATAGCAATGAATCAATTTTTCAAAGTGTTATTCACCACAACTGTAGCAATAAGCAAGTGACCAAAACCCTTTCTAAAAGCAGCTAACGCCAGCCTGGAAGACTTCTTCTGCAAGGATATTGAGAAAATGCACAACAATCTCCAAACCTCTGTAAGAAAAGCTCTTCAGTCTAAAGCAAGACTCACAATAGTAGTTTTTTTTGGGTGACAATGAACTGTTGAAGCACAGCTAATTCACAATGAACAGCAAACGATCCAAAGTACATGCCAGTTTGGTTCCTTCATTCACAACACACACACACACACACACACACACACACACACACAAGACTGTCACAACATCCGAGATTAAACCACATCAGTGGAAACATCTGACTCCATCTGAAACCAAACACGTGAGGAACAATACTGCGCTTACACAATTCTTGAGAGCACTGACACATACATGGACAGGAACAGATGTGTCTTCATTGAGCAGTCACTGTGAAGCGGCATATAATGCGAGGGTCTGTTGATTTTGTTTATTCAACATGGAAAAATGTCACAGATGATCAACAGCGGCAATCATCACACACAACAGACATCAACTCAGTTCAACAGCACCACATCACATCAGGGCTGAACAGGAAGCAGCCAGTGAAGTGTGACCGCTCTCAGATGACTTCACTTCCTGTGGAGATGTGGGAGAAACGGTCTGAAATCTCATCTGACCCTCTCATCTGCACCGAGAGGCTTATTCAACCAGCACAATTAAATAAACACATCATTTCAGGGTGATTCTCATGTGTGGCTGTTAAATGAAATTATGTTGGAAACCCTTTGTGGGGAAAAAACATTGCAAAAGTGTACATAGCATGCGAATGTGGGCCGCTTTAGGCAGTTGTGCGGCACTGGTGGTCTTCCTCCGGCCCAGACTAAATGAATGTGAGCCTGAAGTGGCCCACCTGTACAATGGCAAAGGGCGGCCAAAGATTCAAGTTCATATATGGGCCATTTAAGCCAAAGATTTGACACTTGTGGCAAAATATAATCTGAATGTGAGCCCAATGTGGCCCATGTGGGAAATGATCAATTTGGCCCAAATGATGGAGGACAAATGTGGGCCACAGTTAGCAAAATAGTGGCATAGTCATTTAAGGGTAATCTGGGTCTGAACCCAAAGTGGCTCACATGTGTAAGTGCAAACGTGGCCCAGTTATCTTAAAACATATCTGGGCCACTTTTGGCAAATATTTGGCACAGTAAGCTCTGGCTGTTGTGGCTGTGAGCCTTATGTGGCCCAGAGAAGATAGACTGGGGAGTTACCCAACCATTGCCTTTGGGTACGTGTTACACCCCTCAAACCTCTGCAAAAAGGTCTCAGCAGAAAGTCTCTGCAGAAGTGTCCCTGACGGGGCAGGCCTCGTTTCTATACTCATGTGACTCGCCTGAGTCAACGTTTGTGCTTTGACACTTGGTTCATTTGCCTGGACCGTACCAAAGTTCGATGGTCTCCCCCTGCCACCTCCTCGGTTGGTTTGTGTTCACACTGTCTTTTTCCTTCTGAACCCCGGTACGCTTGCGTCATCGAGCTGCTGTTTTGTTTACGGCCGTTGCTAGGTGGCGGTCACGCAAGCAAGCGCCGAAATGGAAAGAGGTCAGCACATCGCGGTCATTCTGCTTTTACTGAAGCTTTTGGTTTCGGACATACAGAAAGCGACTCGCGTCCATCTGCCGCAAACATATTATAAACATTCAGAACATCACACAGCGTCTGCAGGAGCTGTTTTTGGAGAAGACAAGCAGACATCACTGTGTATCACTGTGTTTGCTCTGGCTCAGTCCCGCGCTTGTCACCAAGGTATGAAACGTGACACACACACAACACAAACGAACGTTATGAAAACTAAAGTTTGTTGTACAGTTGGCGGTTCACTTCCATAATTTGGTACGAACTGTACCAGAGTTCGCATGAACTGTACCCCAGACCACCTCTTACAGGCGGACTCGGGTACGGTTCACGGGTGCGCACCCGAGTTCAGAAGACACGTTCACACTAGCTAAACGCACCGTACTGCGACGTCAAACAAACCCGTAAAATAAATCAAGCTATAACTACGTTGGATTGTCTTTGTTTTGCCTCACAGAAAACGTCA